ACAGGAAATCATGGAGGAGACAGTCAAGTGGACACAAATGAAACATATAATGGGGAGCACTACAGAGAGAGAGCAGATTTAAACAGATGGGTTTTTAATTGGGATTTGAATATGGAGAGTCAGTCATATCACAGAGTTAATGTACGTTACTGATATAGACTCTGATCTAATATCCCGTGACTGTGTGTGTTCAGAGGCGCCGACCTCAGAGCGGGCGTGCGACACTCTGCTGATGTGCATCGTCACCGTGTTGAACCACGGCCTGAGGAACGGAGGAGGAGTCGGAGACGTTCTCAGGAAACCATCCAAGAACGTAAAGAAAACATTTTTACTTTATCCATCATATTATATTAAGAGTATAACAGAGTGATCTACTTTGAGTACTTCTAATGTATGCTTCTACAGTACTTAAAGGTGGGGTAGGGAAGTTTGAGAAACCGGCTCGAGATACACTTTTTGTTATATTCCATGGAATGCTCTTAACATCCCGACAGCAATGAATATCTGAAGTGCTTTGACAACAAATCCATAAATAAATGTCATATGTGGAAGCCGTAATACTGTAAAAAGCACGACCAATCATCTGAGCCGGCCCGGCTAAAATAACTGGATGGCCTACCTGCCTGTCAGCCTTCCATCTGTGCACAAACTTATCTCGTGCTCTCATTGGTCATGTGCGCGTTCGTGTGTGTTGGAGGAGGGGCTCTGTAAGGAAGTGGCAGATTTTCTCCGGTTGTGTATTTTCAAATTCTAGTGATCTCGAGCTGGTTTCTCAAACTTACCTACCCTACCTTTAACTTCATTAACTTTACAGAACCACTTAAGGCACACTTAATTTTGTAGCTCATTATTGAGAAATAAAAAAGTAAAAGTTTTGTCATTCATCTGTAATTTGAAGTGTTTACAGGGAATAATAAAGCATTTTAAAAACATGTGAACAAGTGTCCTTCTGAAGCAGCAGACTACATGTAGTGCAAATAATCGGAAAATAACTGATCTTTAACATATTTATAAAAATAATTGTCTTTTATGATGAGCTCATACATTTTGTAAGGGTTTTAGACCAATCCATTTAACACAAGACACAATTATTGATCAGAAATATTTGGGAGCTAAATTGAACTGATAATGTTTGAAATAGAGTTTATTTTGTTTATCTATAAACGTGTGTGTGTAGGAGCCGTTGTTTCCGGCCCGGGTGGTGTTCGACCTGCTCTTCTACTTCATCGTCATCATCATCGTCCTCAACTTGATCTTCGGAGTGATCATCGACACGTTTGCCGACCTGAGGAGTGAGAAGCAGAAGAAAGAGGAGATCCTGAAGACCACCTGCTTCATCTGCGGTGGGTGCCATTAAACTCACAGTGACACGTTAGGGTCTGAGACCAGAGGTCGCGAAGCGAGCGATAACCACGCAAAGCCCACACGAAACAAGGAAAACGAGCACGGAAAAAGGGCCTAAATCACCACAGTAGGTATCCCGCGCGACTTCACCCACGTCACTGTAGCTAGGGCTGCACGATTTGGGGAAAAAATCGAATTGCGATTTTTCTGACAAATATTGCGATTCGAATTGCGATATTTGTTTTTAAGCGACCCAACGGAAGTTTATTGGAAAATGCGGCCATAACTCCGGCTAGGAAGGTCGCATCAACGTGCTCCCGTCTCTAGCACCCCCGCAGCCCGAGCTACGAGTGAAAGAACTAGACTTCCGTTGGGTTGCTTTAAAGTCAAGCTTCAGTTTCAGAATTCACCCTGTAATAGAAACATGTGATGGAGCATTACTAACCTGACTCAGACGGTTTGTTTCACCAAACCATCCAGGAGAGCTCCATTGGAAGCCATTTTGAAAGGGCAGGCACTTTCAAAAATACTTGGCAGGTGATTGGATCAATCTGTCTATCACCTTCTATCATGGGCCACTTCTGATTGGTTAACAATGGCTGGTACATGTGGAGCACAGCACTTCTGATTGGTTAACAATGGCTGGTACATGTGGAGCACAGCACTTCTGATTGGTGTGGATGACTGACACACAAGATGAACAAAAAATGTTTTTTAAATCGTTTAATCGTTCAGCCCTAACTGTAGCCCAGTGTCTCTCAAAGTGGGGGGGCGCAGAGGCATGACAGGGGGGGCGCGAGAGACCAGGAAGAAAAATGGTTTTGGACAACAGCCTGCGGAGCGTGGGAGACCCGCTCAACGCTTAATTCTTGTTGTTCTTATCAAGAAGATGCAGAGATTTGACCATCAGTTTGTGTGTGTTGCAGGTTTGGAGAGAGATAAGTTTGACAATAAGACGGTGTCGTTTGAAGAGCACATCAAACTGGAGCACAACATCTGGAACTACCTGTACTTCATCGTGCTGGTGCGCGAGAAGAACAAGACGGACTACACCGGGCCGGAGAGCTACGTGGCTCACATGATCAAAGTAAAACATCTCAAACACTGGAGATACACATAAACACTGACATCATCTGAACTCACATTCTGAAGAGAAACTGATAAATGGTTCATGAACAAAGTTTGTCTTTTGTTCAATTTAATAAAGTCATAAAGAAAGTCAATATCAAAGTGAAATTGATCTCAAATGCAGGAACAGAGCTAATTCGTCCTCAGAGGACAAGTTCTGCTTACAGTCCCCCTCTATATATTCATGAAAGGAAACAGCTGGTCCAACATCCTATCATTAGACCTCAAAACCCCCCGACCTTAACATTTGCATATCCCCCTTTACACTTCCTCCTGAAAAGTGAAACCTTAAAGGTCACCTGTTATGCAAATCCACTTTTTCACGTCTTTTACAACATGTGTCCCCTCTTCTTCATGTCTCTTCTACATCAACATGTGTCCCCTCTTCTTCATGTCTCTTCTACATCAACATGTGTCCCCTCTTCTTCATGTCTCTTCTACATCAACATGTGTCCCCTCTTCTTCATGTCTCTTCTACATCAACATGTGTCCCCTCTTCTTCATGTCTCTTCTACATCAACATGTGTCCCCTCTTCTTCATGTCTCTTCTACATCAACACGTGTCCCCTCTTCTCCATGTCTCTTCTACATCAACATGTGTCCCCTCTTCTTCATGTCTGATATGATAATGTGCCCCTCCAGAACAACAACCTGGACTGGTTCCCCCGGATGCAGGCCATGTCTCTGGTGGTGACGGACGGGGACGGGGAGCAGAACGAGATGAGGATGCTGCAGGACAAACTGGTCTCCACCATGAAGGTGGTGCTGACCCTCACCCAGCAGCTGATGGAGCTCAAAGAGCAGGTATATACACACACACACACACACACACACACACACACACACACACACACACACACACACACACACACACACGTACA